CACTATACTTTAATTCTTAATATGTTATTGAATTTTGATCATGTTTTAACTCTTCAATGAGTGATTAATAAATCTTTAAATTAAATAATATTTTTCTATTAGAAAAATGTTTTTACATTTTACAAAATATTTGCATATTATATATTCTTTCTGGGCACTTTCTCATAATCAGCACCACTGATGAGAATGGACAGACTGTGCATCTACTTTCTCCTTAGAATTTTTATTACAAACTTCACCTTTAAAAAAAATTCTAAACATAAACAGTGATGCCAGTTGCATCAAGAAAATTGTAACCAATCCTCCAGGAATGGTTACAATTGGAATTACCACATTACAGTCTTCAAATTTTTCTTCCAATTTAAGTTTCTTTGTGGTTGAAGACAAGCTTTTCAGCAATGTCTCTATTAACTGGTAAATTATTCCAATCATAGACCCATGGCAAACTGACTTCATATCTACCATCAGCATTTTTTCTCAAGTTCCTATGAAAGTGATCCAATGCAGACATTTCCAATTCTACACTATACAGTCAAAAGTCGTTAATCCGGACTCGTCGGGACTTCGGCGATTCCGGATTATCGATTTTTCTGGATTATAGATCATCAGTTTAAATCTGGTAAGATGGCATGCAGAAATTATTAATTAAAAATATGAAACCGCAATTTATGTAATAAAGAACAATTATGATCTAAAGGGTATCAAAATTTACAAAAAAAAAAGGCTTAATATTTATTTGTTTACTTTATGAAACATTTCTTTCAATGTAAGTTGTTTAAGTTGCTTCTTTTTTTATGTGATAATACATTCTCTTTAATTCTTTAAACAGACATAATTTCTTGTTCAAAGTTCTGCTGTTCAAGTCCTATAATTGCTGTGTCGAGAATACCGACTAATTTGCCAATTGAAATTTTTTCACTTTCAATAACCTCTGTCACTTTCTTTGCTATTGGAAGCGAATTATAATGACGAGAAATTTGATTTAAATAATATCAAAGATGGAGTACATTGAGATGAAATACTACATTTAATAAGGAATTATAAGCCAAATAAAATAAAAACATTTGCCCTGAAGATAAGGATAGTGCTGACAGATCAACTTCCAATTCATTGCGCGGCGCGGCTACGTTAAATATAAACAAAGTTTAGATAAACAAACGTTAAAGTTTAAATAAACAAAGGATATGCCTTTATCCATTTTTTGTAGCAATTCCACTTTTTGTTTAATGAACTTCGAAACATACTTTCGCTTTGTAGACCATTTACATATTAATAAATATATATCAGAAATTCTATTTGACATAATCGAAAGTTCAAGCTTACTTTTATAAAATTGCTCTAACAGTCTGCAAAAAATAATAAGCTGGATCCAATTCGAAGATTAAGGAACAACGCAATCTGCAACATTAACTGAAATAGATAATTAAATAATTTTAGCTTAGCTTATACCGTCTGTTATACATTAAACGCGCACTCGTAAACGTATTTTGCGCACACGCACAAGCATATTCTCAGCCGTAAAGGCCTTACGCGTTGACGCATGCGCAGAAAGTTTGAAGCTTTGAGGTCCGGATTATAGATGTCTGAATTAATGACTTTTGACTGTACTTGCTTTCACCGGGATCAGTTATTCCTAAAACATCTAATTTCCATAAATTCTCTAAATTGTTGCTGTGGATTAGCATATTGGTTATCAAAGATGAAGTACTTTGAGATGAAATGCAGTTATTTATATTGCCCATAATAATCCAGGCGAGTAGTGTCTGTATTGCAACAAGACCAGATGATAAGTAGAAAATGATCCCAGTGTAAAGACTTCCAGCATAATCAGCTCCAATTAAAAATTCTACTGGGAGCGAGTCTTTTCCTACATCGGTAAGACAGGCCTTTATCTCATAACTCAACCATTCAGGGTCCTTCCTGAACACTAGGAATGTGCTCACAAATAACCTGCTATTCCAGAAGTTGAATTTCACAAGCATAATTCTTCTTTAAATTACTCACCGATAGTTTGTAACATTTATGTTGCCTTCCAAATGTAAGGTGTTAAATTTTCAGTTCGTTCAGCAGTCACTCTCATTTGGTTCATTGCATATTTAAAAATATATTACTTCTGTGATACCGTGTCAAATAAAGCTATTACTTCTCTTACCATTTGCTTCAACGGACACAAGTAGAATTTGTAGAAGATAATTTGTTTGGCTTTTGTTAGATAACATTACATTTTCATCAATGCAAGAAATCTCTGAATTTCTTATCTACATTAGACAAAGGGAATACTATAGTCCAATGTTTCGTTTCACAAATTATCCATTGAACATTAGCCTAGCAATTTTTCAAACTATGCCTCATTCTCAAGCATGCTTTGTTTTTCCTTGAAATATCATTTTTTTCCTCAAAAGACAATTTTTGGGCTTTAAAACGGTCTTAAAAATAACATGTTTTGCCACAAAACACAAAAGCAGGTTTTTTTAGCTCTTGAGACAAAAATTTCGTCTTTTGTGAACTTTTAAATGTTTGCTTTTAATCTGAAATTTCATTTGATTTTAAAACCAGCTTTGGATTCATTCTGCACCTTCAACTTCTGCATGAAGAAACAACTGGGATAGTTTATCACCATAAGAATATTTTTTTTAATTGATCACTTGATTACATAACCAAACACTTAACAAATTTTAGGAGATGCAAGATTCCATCAATGGGAATAACATGGCAGCATACTTGCCAGTAGTTATGCCAATCAACTTTAAAGACCTGACTCTAGATATGTGACTCATATCTATCATACTGCTTCATAATGTTCCTCTTTATTTTCACATTGATTAGCATTTTTTACTACCAATGATAACATTTCGTGGACATAACACTCAATAAGTAGTTCTTCGTTGCCAAACCTTGTTTTCAGGCTATCAATGGCTTTTGCATAGTTAACACCATTGGCGGATAGCCATCTATAATTTCTCGGGCTCTATTGCCAACTGTCATGCATTGGATGAAATACTGAAATTTATCTTCAAAACAAATTGACTCATCATCATGAATTTTACTTAACTGACTCTGAAAAGCCAGTTTTTCACTTACATGCTAAATTTAACCAATTCTATTTTGGGGAGCTTTAATTTTGTTATTTCATCTGCATTCGCTACCAACAGTTAACAAAAATTTGAATGTTTATCGAGACATGCTTTATTACAAGTCCCAGCAACATCCGATTTTCCTTGATATTCTTCACTTTTCTCATATTCAACATCATATACGGCGTCTATTAAAGCAGCACCAATTTTATCATCCAGTTCAGCAAAATCTGTAGCAATTGACTCTAAAGAAAATTTAATTTCAATTTCCTCATGTTTTAAATGAACTCTTCTTTTAATAACATTTTCCATATTAATACTATCTTAAATCAATAAAGTCAATATTAACAAATTGACTGACTTTTATCTTTAAACATCACATCTATACCTCACTACAATGATGAGAATGGATAGATTGCTTACCTATTTTTTGCTTAATTTTGCTCTTTAGAAATAAAATTAATTCTAAACAGTGATGCCAGTTGCATCAAGAAAATTATTCCATTACTCTTGTTGCCAGATTTGCTTTGTGGCTACCTAAAGGTAGAGTAATCATGCAATCAATTTCAGAAAGAAGTAATTCATTCCCTCTGAAAAGTCACAAACGTGCAAGTGAGCATCTACAAACTTGTTGGTGACTAGCCTTTCGCTAAACTCATGCACGAAAAGCAGTAGTCATTTTCAAAATAGCACAAAACTAAGAAATTTGAAGAAGAGCAATCAATCAATATAATTTCAGAAGCAAGAACTAATGGTCATGAAACCCTCAACCTTTTTCAAGAAATCCTTTTCTGTGACCATTGTGTTCTTCCCATATACACAATGGTCTGTTTCCAAAATGTTAAAAAAAAATATTAGACTTGCACTAACTCATCATCTAATTCAACAGGCGTGCTATGCACATACTTGAGTTGCCACATATATAAAAATTTTGGCAGCATCATGGGTTGTCATATAACTATATTTTGGTGACATATTGCTTTGCCTCATGAAAAATTTTTCATGACCAAGATCATGGTGGGGTGCAGATAATCGGAAAGTAACACTTCTTATTCACTACTTCCGAGGCAAATATTTGTTGTTAGACCTCACCCTGTGTTGTTAAGTGAAGAAATTTCCTCAGCTTCTTTAAGAACACCAGACAAAAATTAAACCCTGCAGAAGGGTGGAACTTGTAAATGAAAACAATTTTTTTCATAACTGATCAATGTCTCTTAATGAACCTTACTTAAGAAATCAGTTGAAGACACCTACAATCAGATTCGGGTTGAAAATAATAAAGCAAACATGCTCAAATTCTGTGCAAATAACCTGACATCCCCAGAAATAGAAAAAAAAAAAAATTGCACAGAATGTGGAATTTCTGTTAGTGAAAAATAAATTTATTTTGCTGATTGATATGAGGCAAATTTTGCTACTAGTTAATGCTTGCTTTTAACGTGTCAATTTTCATGCTTTTATTTGAAAACTTGGTATTATAAAGTTTTATTTACTTTTTTGGAATGTATTGGCACAAAGTAATTATTTTATTACAATACTTTTACATGTAAATAGAGATCTCCCCCTTACAATGGTATAATAAAAAGTTCATTTTTAAAAAATCTTTTTCATCATATTCAACTTTCTCAGCTTAATAATATTTAATATTAAATTATGTAACTAGCACACATTTACCATTTTCTCAGCAATTTTAAACTGAATTTCAAAAATGGGGTCAAATCTATAGTGCAACACACTAGTAAGTCAAACCTATATTAAGAAATAGTTATTACTGACAGCTCATTAATTTTTCTAATGTTACAGCATATTTAATGCTTTTTTAAATTGACAATACAGAAAATCAGAAAAATCCTTAGACAATACCATAGCAATTTGTAAATACACAAGCTCCTTACATAAAAATAGAAAACAAAAAATTTTGCATACCTGATACTTTATCTACTCTCTTTCTCCCTATGCGTCGATAAGCAGGCACTGATTCTGCATGTTCTGTCAAATCACCACCAGGTCGAATGCCATCTGAGAAAATGACTTGTTTAGGTTCTCTACGTGGTTTATTTCCTATGAGATAATACTGCTACATATACACATTTGTATTCATATGTACCAGCATATTATACAATGCATCTGCAGATAAATTACTTTTACATGCTTGTTATTACGTATAATTTATACCTTTCCCTTTATACATGCCTTATATCTTAATTTTTATGGTTTCCATGGAAGTGTTTTGGAAAATAAGATGAGATTTTTTTTAAAACAAAATTTAAGTTCACTTCTGAAACATAAAACTATGATTTAAATGTAATTTACAAGTAATTTGCGTCAAATAAAACTGGATAAATTAACTAACTCCCAGAATTATCATGAAATCACACGAAAACTATTCAAAGCGAAATGAAAACACTCCACAGCTACAAAAATTAAAAATATATGATATCTTCTGCCTAAATGTTCAGAAAAAATAAAAGTGAGTAAAAGGCAAAGAACTTGATACGGTTCATATTTCTGTGCACATTAAAACATATCGATAATTAATTATATGGAAAACATCGCACTGAAAAACACTTTTGCCCTCTAGATATGCTTTTCTAGGGATTCAAATTCATTTGGGGATTAGGCAATATTTTTTTAATTTACAAACTAAATTTAATATTCCATATTTTAATAAATATATAACATTTCTGAAATCATGATTATCAATCACCTGATTGACTAAATAATCAAATTTTTGATTTTCCCCAAAGCCAAGTTTGATAAAATGATAATTCATTAATTTTAAAAAATAAAGCTGACTTGATAAAATTTAACTTTTATATGCACACATGTGGATGTGTAGATCTCATTCAGACAGCTAAAATTCACAGTAAATCATAAATAGAAAAATTAGCAATTAATCAATTGAAAGGAATTACCTTAAATACAACATAAAATCTGTAACTAAACTAAAACCTACACTTCAATGTAATTACAAGCAAATGAATAAACAATTTTATATAAATATGAATGCTATAAATAATAAAGCAGAATTTTAAATGGATAATATGCCAATATTTACATTATATTTACATCCATTTTATTTTTGAAAAACTGATCTATTTACACTTTTTTAACTTCTTCAAATTCAAGAATGAAATACAAGTTTCAAGCATAAAATCTCATCATAACAAAAATATTTATCAGGTAATACATAATTATTGCTCAAACATGTGAGACTAAACTTGCACAATCAAAAATTATTTAAGAAACTGTTAATAAAATGCAAATATTTGATGCAAAAAATGACAGAATAGGAATAATCAAAGCTAATGAATATCACTGCAACTTCTACTCAACAATTAGCATAATGCAAAGCACATAAACATCAAATGAAGAATTAATATTCATAACACAACTCTGGATGAATCATTACCAGGAGGAGAAATTCAACTATAGCTTGGGACACTAAATTGACAGCAAATACAGAAATAACCAAAGTGCAGATTTTACTCTAGTTCAGGTTATCAGTACATATTAATGCCCCAGAAGCTGGATGTCTTACACTTGCTTTCAAATCTGGCTATCATCAGTCTAACAAAGTACATCAAATTAATATTTTTTCTCCTAGTGGATGGTGAAGCTAAAGTTGAAGCCACAACATAATTTCTGCAATAGGCAACCTGCAATTTCTCCATTACTCTGTACTTTAAACTGAACTGTTGACTATTATTAATAACAATTTAAACATATTTCAATCCAGTATAAATACCTAAATTTAATTGGAATAATGTTACCGTAATTTCCGGAAGAAACGCCGCGGCGTTTACGTGTTGAAAACTTAAATTTTCAGCGGGTGCGGAATTTCTACCCATGCGGCGTTTAGGTGCATTAAAAATAAAATATTTCTTATGATGTCTTGTGCACGTTTAAATGACCTTGTCATTGTACATAGTTTGGATGGTCCTTGTCAATTGTGCATAGACTGGTGCTATTCCCACAAAAGTGCAATTTTCTGTATTTGGATGGAATAGTTATTCAGTTGATTCAGAAGCAATCATTCCGCAAACTTTCTCCAAGGAATGGAAATGCAGCTTTTCCAGGATATCAAGATACATCTCAACATTAATAATTTTGACTGCAAGAATTAAGAAAGCGGCTGAACTACCAGAAACATTTCAAACAATGTTTGCGTCTGTTACTAAACTTGACTAGCCAATCTATTTAAAAGGAAGTAGTCCCTACATCTACCAAACTACAAAACTGCTTTCTGTGAACTTCATTTTGTTTACATTCTTTCCCTTGAATGGACCTACAATGCCTTATTCACCCTAAACGAGGATCTCAGAACAATAACATTCTTCCCCTTTCAAATCAGCATCCTCATCAGTTTGAATAGTCTCTCTTCTCTGCTATTCGATGAATCTTCCAGGACCTATCCTCTCCCCACCCCTGCCTCTTTTCCATTGTAAATCTACTGCAATTTTTTCAAAGGCGGACACGACTCACCTGCCTTGCAATAACGAAATTCTATGACGTATTTCCCCTTCAGCATGAATGGATTTTTCTTGGCATTCTGCCAGAATACAGATCCCATCAGTTTGAGTACAAGTACTTGTTGGATAGTTTTTTCAGTAAGAAGGGAGCGGAAAATTTTTTTGAAAATGGCACCTAAATGGCACAGAAGCTATACTGCTGGTTCTTAAGCTTTAATTTATTTTTGAGTTATGGTTTCTTTCATGCATTTTTCTTAACTGGTATGTCATATATCAGGACTTAGGTTGAGTTTTTGCATCTATACGGCCTACGACGATGTCACGCGCAATTTAATCTATTGCGGCGTTTACGCTGATGCGCCGTTTCTATGTAATTTTAATTTTTTTCCCGCCATTTTTCTCGAGTGCGCCGTTTACGCTGATGCGTCCTTTCTTCCGGAAATTACGGTAATTATCAAATTTAATTTTAAAATTATTTAGAAGATTACCTGCTTAAGTTACAGCAACATAATTAGATTAATAATAAATGTAATTTATTTATAGCTTGTAAGAAACTACTTCATTCAACTCAGTTGATAATTCTATTTTTAGCATAGTAAAAAAGATGAAGTCATGCAAAGACCCAAATTTTACTCTTTTTTAAAATGGTAATTAGATTTCACTCACTGTTGTTTAGGGAACCTAAAATTTATGGCCTTCATTTAGGTGAAAACACATTATGGCTTCTAACGTAGCATTACTACATATTTTAAAAATCCGATGTGGATACCTTGACTTCCTAGTACATCTGATTAAATTATACTCATTTTTACTCTAGTATAGGGGTCTTCAACCTTTCACGGCCGAGGGCCACATGTCTCTCAAAAAATAGTGTAATCAGAAAATTTATATAAAAAAGGGAGGTTTGTTTTGCAAGACTGCAATTGATTCCAAGTGAAGTTACAGAAGTTCCAAGAAGATTGTTACAGATTTGTGTATCTACATACATTGGCTCCAAAAAGCCAAATGGAAATCGAATTAAAATGTTTTGCAACTTTTTTTAACTATGAAAAAAAAGTATAATGCTGATTGTACAGAATGATGTCACAAAATGCATTTACAATAAACAAAGGAAAAACAAACTTGGATTACTTGCGGGAGATGAAATTTACTTTTGTTTTAATGTGAAATTTCATTTTTTTTTTTTTTTTTTTTTTTTTTTTTTTTTTTTTTCCCTTGATTAAAGGATCAATATCCAGTTTAATCTGTATTGTTGCAATTCATAAAGCCGAAATGCCCAAATGTCGATTCTCCAAATGTCAGCCGTGTTCTTGTTTTTGATTTTAGGATTTATCATTTTACTAAAAAGCTGTTCACATATGTAGGTACTGCCAATGATAGAAGACATGAAGAATGCATGTTTACGAATTTTTGGATCTATCAATGTAGGATTAAATAAATAAAAAATGAAAATAAATTAATGTAGGATTTTCAAGAAACTTGTATTTTACTGCAGTCACACGGTAAATCTATAAATTCTGATTGAAGTTTAGTTGAAACACTTCCAACGTCTACTGGAAATGATAATTCTGATAAAAATTTAATTTTCACGAAAATCGGCTTTTGAATTCCTCTTTCTAATTTGAAATGCTTAGTATATAATTATTTGAATTCCATGTTGCAGAGTTCTTCACACATTCCACCAATTTTGGAAAGTAAATGGAATTCTTATTTAGCAGCTGACTTTCCCACAGGATTAACTTTGTCTTAAAAGCTTTCACAAAGAAATAAAGTAAGCGGTAGTTCAAATTATTGAGATGATCTGTAATATCGACAAGAAATGCAAAGTCTCTCAAACATTTCTCATCATTGAACTCGTAAATAGATTTCCCTTCAGATTCCATGAATTGTTGAACTTCACTCTTCAAAGGAAACAGGAGCTGAAGCCTCTTTCCTCGGCTCAACCAACGTACTTCCGCATAATACACAACATCACCATATTCAGCTTCCAAATCACTCAATAACTGTTGAAATTGCCTGTGATTAAGTCTTTTAGACCAAATGAAATTAACCACTTTCACAACAGTATTCATCACATCAGAGTTTGAGAAGGACTTGCATAAATTTTGTTGGTGGATGATGCAGTGGAAAGTCATCATAGTATTATATCCATCTACCTTCACATCAGATTTGAATAGTTTTTACTCCTATTTTCTCTCCGGTCATAGATTTAACACCATCCGGTTATAGCAGATATATTACTAACTCACATTTATCCAAAGTTTGTGTTAGACGCGAATACAAATCCGTTCCTCATGTTATACCTCTAAGTGCAATGACAATGGCTAATTCCTCTACAATTGTGAAGTCTATCAATGCCACGAATAAAAATGGCTACTTGTGCAGTATCTGTTCCATATGTTAATTCATCCATCACTACAGAATAAAACTCAAATTTTTTGCATTTGAATTTTTAATTTCTGAATATATCCTTTATGTGTCTCGCAACAGTCACACCAGATTAGCTAATATTCAATATGACTTAGAGCCTGTGATGGACAAAGCACATCAACTGCACCATGAAGACATTCTTTAACAAATGCTCCATCA